GCATGATCATGGTATCCTCCAAAGGGCTTTGGAGTCAGACAAACCAGAGTCTCACACTCTTTTTGGCCATTTCTGAGCTTTGTGTCTGAATAAGAGACAAACTCTACTACACCTAATTCCCTGTGGCCCAGATGCTGGCTTCTGTTTGAATTAAAGTAACAAATACTATGGGGTCTGAACCCAGTACAACCTAAAGAATGTTACAGGTGCTCCAAAAATGGTGGTTGTCACTGTCAGCGCACAGATTCTGGAAAAGGATACCCTGGCCAAAGCCAAGAGCATCCACTATTTGCTAAATATTTTACCAATACCATAAATATAAAAATGCCACCCCTGCCCTCAAGGAGCTTACAGGAAAAGGGACAGAGAGATCCAGATATTTATAAAACAATGTAATAAATGCAAAAACAAAAAAATATACAGAGTATATGGGAACACAGGGGATTGGCTGGGAGGCAGATAAATCTGGGACACATCCCAGGAGGCTGACAAAGAATTCCCTTGCTTTCTACTCCAGAAAGCTTCCTAAGACTTTACTTAGGGAACCACCTACTGAGGGACAGCCCAACTTTCTTTTTTTAAAGGTTTTTTTTTTTAAGATTTTATTTATTTATTCATGAGAGACAGAGAGAGAGAGAGAAAGAGAGAGAGAGGCAGAGACTCAGGCAGAGGGAGAAGCAGGCTCCATGCAAGGAGCCCGACATGGGACTCAATCCCGGGTCTCCAGGATCACACCCTGCAGCACTAAACCGCTGTGCCACCATGGCTGCCCTCAGACTCTCCTTTAACTTTTATTTACACGCAATCCCATCCACCAATTGGGAGGGAGAGTGGATTTAAGTGACACAGAAAGAGTTTACTTCTCTTTCTCCCTCACAACCACATAAAAATTGAAATCACATTTTCCCCAAATCCTTGTTACATCCATGATAAAGACTGGATGTTTTACAAGTTACACAATCACCTAGATTTAAGCCGGCTGTAGGGTAAACAACCCAAACCATCAGTCTGGGATGTCCTTTCTTCTATACCAGCCAAATGGGGTCTGCCTACTTATTATGCTTATTCCAACCATGCTAGCTAGGTATCCAAAACCTTGAATACCATACAAACTTCAGTAAATTTTCTCCATTAATCCAAACTGTTACTCAAGATTTATTCACTTACTAAACACCTAAAACACAAACTGATGCCTAAATACAAAGCACTGGCATTCCACCAAAAATGCAAATTTGGCTCCTGCCCCTAAAATAAACCTCTGTGGGAAAGTCACACATCCAAAAACCACAGTATAAATGAAGACCAGTGAGAACAGACACTAGCATTTGCATCCTTTCATAGGTATCTCACTTGACACTTGACAACATCACAATCCTGTGACAAAACAGTATCTCGTTTTTACCAGTCTGCTTAATTAATGAGCAAATCCTGAATATTCTGAGCCCTGATCCTACCACGCTCTAAAATGTGTATTAAAGCTTATCGTTACCATAAAGGAAGGCAACAAAATCATAACAAGTATCTCAAACACTCCGCACGGGAAGATATGTAAAAGATCAGTTTCCTCACTTATGAAATAAAAGACGGCAGGGCCAGATTAGGTGATCAAATAAGGAGCATTTCAGGAAACACTCCCGCTGCCACTGTGTGGGACCACACATGTACCAATCAAATCCTGATGATGAGAAAGAACATTACGCACTCTCTCCCGCCAAGTCCAGGATTGCATTTATGTCCCTATCAACAAGGGAGCCACTATCAGGGGGAGTAGATAAGCAAAATGTAACCCACTTGACATCTGTGAACTAGAAAAGACCTAGAAAGGTAAAGCAAACTACCCAAAAGTTTTATAGAACTAGTCTAAGAGCTAAGCCCTGAAAACAAGAGGAACATAATTGTACGCTGCCATAAAGCATACAAAGCATCTTCTCTTCCACTGCCATTTGACCCTCACTACCACCCAGGCAATAAGTCTCCCCATTTTTAGATATTTTAAAATGTGGATCAGTGAAATCATGTAATTAGGTCCAGGTTATCCAGCTAGTAAGTGGCTTCCATGAAGCCGCACAACCTTACGGGTGCCCTTCCTTTTTAACATGCCAAAGTCACAGAATAGTGAGTGGAAGCACAGCAGGACCCAAGAATGTCAATCCAAAAACTTCCAGGCTCTTCTTACCTACTAGCCTATGTGCAACTGTGTTACATCAGATAAGCTCCTTCTTCCATAAAAAAGGATCTTGAGGCCCCTGGGTGGCTCAGTCCATTAAGCATGCGACTGTTGATTTTGGCTCAGGTCATGATGTCAGGGTCATGGGATCAGCCCTGCACTGGGCTCTGTGTTCAGTAGGGGCCCGCTTGACATTCTCTCCTTCTGACCCCCCCTCCCCGCCCGTGTGCTTGCTCTCTAAATAAAATTAATAAATAAATCTTTAAAAAGAAAGCTCTTGAGTAACCAGCTAGTTAATAAAAAAGCAATCATTTTTAAAAAAGCAAAAAGGCCTTTTAAAAAAGGCCTACACTCTGTTAATATTACATATATACATACCTACCTCAAACACAAATCATCATTTTGCAACATTTTTTGCAACATTACATAAATGAAAAATAGTAGAACCAAGGAGCTAGATGTTAAGCTAACAAAACTACCAGCTTTTTGGGCCTCCACCTTTTCCCTGTCTTATACAGGAAGACATTTGTTAAAGAATCTTCCTTAAACTAAGTATTAGCCAGTAATTCCATATACAGCTTTTTACATGTATAGAATGCCTTTAAGACTGTCTCAGGAATGTAAAGCATTATCCAGTTCCATTCTGCCTAGGAATATTACACCCAGGGAGCCTACTATTCCTGAAATTGAAGTCATCTGAGAGATCTTATCACAAATATTTAAATGGCAACATATTCATCATATCCTCTCTTTGGAATTCTGACCAACTTAATGGAAATTCCTGCCCATGCATTCCTATTTCTGGATGGACTTTAAACCATCAGAACTACTCCTTAATATAATTTAAAGACTCGATATGGTAACACTTATGTCGTTCAGTACTTAAAAGCATCATTGAGATGAAGTCCAGTATTAATGCAACCCTGAAAAGCCCTTTCTTAACACCGAAATATCCCAAAGCTTTCTGCAACCAGCACAAGAACCTTTTACTTCCATACCAAAGCAGCCTACTTTTACAGGGATCTAAGGAAATGCGTACACATGAGCTGCACCAACCACCTGGCAAATAATCCAATCCCTACCAAGTGAAAAGCTGATCCTCTTTTGTGCTCTTAAATTATTCAAAATTAGCCTACAAAGTATTGCTGTGGACTACCCGAACAAACCTTTCAGACCTGTGCACCATGTTCTGTTTTTATGCTACTGGACAGCATCAGTGCAAACTCCCTTCTCCAAATTTAGTAAGGCACAGAGCAGGAGCTTAGAAATTACAAATTACTCTGCATTAGAAAAGGAACTTTTAAAGTGAAGGATAATTTACCTGTGACAGACTGGCAACTATACATGATAGTGATCAAACTTCATTAAGTACCCAAAACTTTTTTTTTTTTTTTTTAGTACACAACCTCTGAATCAGAAAGCTTTATGATGATTTTACTTTAAAATACCCCAGTTTTTGCTGTTTTACATTTCTCAATGTTGACATAAATTTACCCCAAAATCGGAGGTGGGGGGGAGGACTTGTAACCTCTGGCCTGCAAGACTCCTTTCAGCATTGAGTGTTTCAAGCAGAAATGAACACTACGTGGTATTAGAAACTATATCGTTACCTATGTTTTATTACGGTTCCTGCGTTTCCAAGGACGTCAGTACCCGGATAAAGAACTATATACTCCAACCCAAGGTTCAAGTTTTTCCAGCCGAATTTCACAGACATGATGTTTCCGGGTGTGCAGGTCATAATTACATTTTAAACGGACCCATCACATTTGAAAATAAGTTGTGTGGCATGACTAAGGAAAAGGGGTCACTCAGAAATCCGTATTTTTAAGGCCAAGAAAAATCAGGCTTCCTAACTCGGAATCCGAGAAAAGCTCATTCAAATTCCCAGCAAGCTGAAGCGGAAAGCCGAGCGAGATCACTCAAAAATACATCTTAAACACAAAAATGGGAAAGTGTTCAACCTTGAGAGGAGGAGGGGAAAAAAAGAAAAGAAAACTAGCGTTTAAGACGGAAACTACTCAAACGGAGCGAGAATCCCAATGACATGACATTTTCTCCCACGGCGGCGGCAATCCGGAGGGTCTCGGCGCCGCTGGCCCGTCGCGCCGAGCACAAAAGGGCTGGGCCGCCGCGCCCCGGGAGCCCCCCTCGCGGCCCGAGCAGGCCCCGCGGGACCCCCAGGCGGGCGGGCCGGCCGGCAGCCCCAGGTCGCGGCCCCGGGCGCGGCGAGCGGCGCGCAGCCCCCCAGGAGCGGGCGGCCCCCCGCAGCGCAGCCCGCCGCCCCCCCCGCCCCGCCCCGGGCCGGGCCGGGCCGGGCCGGGCCGCAGAGGGGAGCGCCGAGGGGAGCGGCCGCCGCAGCGCCCCGCGGCCCCCGCCCCGCCTGGGCCCCCTCCGGCGCTCCCCGCACCCGCCGGGCGCGCAAAGTTTTCCGCCGCCCCCCGCCCCCCGCCGGGAGGAAGGCTCACGACTCCTCACCTCCGCGCGAACAATACCCGTCTCCCGGCAACGCGCACGCCGGGCCCGCGCCCCCTCCCCATGCCCATCCCCATCCCCATGCCCATCCCCATGCCCATGCCCATGCCCATGCCCATCCCCATCCCCATCCCCGCTCGGGGCCGGCCGGCCGGGCGGGCGCGGGGCGCGGGGCGCGGGGCGGGCGGGGGGGGGGGCAGCCGAGCAGGGCCGCGGGGACGCCGGTGCGGAGCGAGGCCCGAGGGACAAAGGGACGGGAGCGGCGAGGCCGGGCGGCGCCCGCCGGGCTGGGGGCCTGCGCGGGGTCGCGGCGCCCGCCGCACAATGGCCCGCCGCCCCCGCGCGCGCGAGCCCTCACCTCATGGTGCCGGCGGCCGGGACGCGGGGGGCGCGGAGCCGGGGCCTGTGCTCCGGGGGCGGGGACGTGGCTGGCGGGCGGCGGGCGGCGGGCGGCGGGCGGCGGGCGGCGCGCGGCTCCTCCTCCGGCGGCCGGCGCTACACCATGGCCCCGCACAAAGCGGCGGCACCGGCCGAGCGCGGGAGACGCGGCGGAGGCTGCGAGGGCGGGGGAAGCGTCGTCCCCGCTGCGGGAGCGCCCGGCCGCCCTGGGAGGGAGCCCGCCGCCGGGCCGAGTGCAGGCGGCGCCGCTGCCGCGGAGGAGAGCCGCGAGCGCCGCGCGGGGCCGGGGAGGCGGGGCGCGCGGCCCGGGAGCACGCAGGCGCCGCCCTCGCTCCCGCCCCGCCCCCGCCCCCGCCCCTCCCCCTCCCTGCCCCCCCTCCCCTCCCCTCCCCTCCCCCTCGCCGCCCCCTCCTCCTCCTCCTCCTCCTCCTCCTCCCCCTCCTCCCCCTCCCCCCCTCCCCCGGGGCGGGGGCGGGGCGGGAGAGCCCCGGGCCGGCCCCCGGGCCCAGCCGGCCTGCGGAGCGCGCTCGGCTGATCGGCTTTGTGGCTTCTGGCCCACCGCCTGCGCTTCCCCGCGGCCGGGCTGCCGGGGGGCTGCGGGCGGTGCGGGGGAGCTGCGGGAGCTTCCGAGGCTGCAGGAGGTGCAGGGGGGTGCGGGGGACTGCGGGAGGTGCAGAGAGCTGTGGGAGGTGCGGAAGGCTGCAGGGAGGTGCTGGGGGGTGCGGGGGCTGCGGGGGGCTGCGGGGGGCCGCGGGAGGGGGACGCCTAATCGCGACCCCGGGGCCGCATTGTCTCTGGGCCGGCCCGCGCGCCGCACCGGGGGCAGGTATGACCTCATCCCGAGCGGTGGGGGTGGGGGCGGGGGGAGAGGGAGGGGAGTTGATGCCGGGGTGGGGCACGGGCCGGGGGCGGGCGGGGGGGGGGGGTCTAGGGTCCTGTCTTTTACTGGGTACCAGGTCACCTGCTTTGAAAGGTAACTGCGGAGTGCGGGCGCCACAAACTCGTGGAGAGCCCGGAGGCGGGGGCCGTCCTCCAAGGAGGCAGAATGGATGGTGTAGGAGGCTGTCGGCCTCCAAAAGCAAATCTACTAATCAAGTAAGAATTCAGACTGGACAAGTAACAGGCATCCTGAAGTCCCAAGGAGGAGGAGGAGGGGGAGGAGGGGGAGGAGGGAGGGGAGGGGGAGGGGGTCCACTGTACAAAAGGTGGCTGCGATGGAAACCACCGGGTTCCCAGTACCGCACCATCCTGTCCAAAATGGAGGACCTAGCATGACTCCAGGAACCGATTCAAAAGTTTTGGTGTGTTATTTTAAGATGGAGGTACAATTCCAACTGTAGTTCTGACACTTGAGATCATTTACACTTGCAAAAGAAAAGCCAGCAAGTGACAGTCATGCCTGGTCAATGCCTGACTCCTCTGTAATGGAACTGTGCGGCCCAGTTTTAACTATAAAAAGCTGCCTGGTTTCAGACTCCATACCGGGTGATTTTCCTTTGGGAACCTGCAGCCTCAAACCCGCAGCCCTAGAGAAGCAGTGACCTGGAGCTATGGCAGAGGACCAGGGTGGCCTCAGGTGGTGGTGGGAAGCACAAGCTCCGTGAGGCTGCTTTCACAGAGCATACTTGGAGAACACTAATTTCCACCCACGCAGCTAATTACAGCTTACCGCCACAGAGTATTGTATTCAGGGATCTCCAAGCACTGATAATACCCTGGCCAGTCAACTGTCCTTGTTGCCATATTGCAAGCAGAGACGGAGGCAAGGAGCTCCAGAACTGGATGAGTTAGTGCACTGGGCCCCGTTAGCTGCCAACTATGAGGTCCATCCTCTTGCCATAGCTACCAACTATGAGGTCCCTCCTCTTGCCATAGCTACCAACTATGAGGTCCATCCTCTTGCCATAGCTACCAACTATGAGGTCCCTCCTCTTGCCATAGCTACCAACCATGAGGTCCATCCTCTTGCCATAGCTACCAACTATGAGGTCCATCGTCTTGCCATAGCTACCAACTATGAGGTCCATCCTCTTGCCATAGCTACCAACCATGAGGTCCATCCTCTTGCCATAGCTACCAACTATGAGGTCCATCGTCTTGCCATAGCTACCAACCATGAGGTCCATCCTCTTGCCATAGCTACCAACCATGAGGTCCATCCTCTTGCCATAGCTACCAACCATGAGGTCCATCCTCTTGCCATAGCTACCAACCATGAGGTCCATCCTCTTGCCATAGCTACCAACTATGAGGTCCATCATCTTGCCATAGCTACCAACTATGAGGTCCCTCCTCTTGCCATAGCTACCAACTATGAGGTCCATCCTCTTGCCATAGCTACCAACTATGAGGTCCATCGTCTTGCCATAGCTACCAACTATGAGGTCCATCCTCTTGCCCTAGCTACCAACCATGAGGTCCATCCTCTTGCCATAGCTACCAACTATGAGGTCCATCGTCTTGCCATAGCTACCAACCATGAGGTCCATCCTCTTGCCATAGCTACCAACTATGAGGTCCATCCTCTTGCCATAGCTACCAACCATGAGGTCCATCCTCTTGCCATAGCTACCAACTATGAGGTCCATCGTCTTGCCATAGCTACCAACTATGAGGTCCATCCTCTTGCCCTAGCTACCAACTATGAGGTCCATCGTCTTGCCATAACTACCAACTATGAGGTCCATCCTCTTGCCCTAGCTACCAACTATGAGGTCCATCCTCTTGTCATAGCTACCAACCATGAGGTCCATCCTCTTGCCATAGCTACCAATGATGAGGTTCATCATCTTGCCATAGCTACCAATGATGAGGTCCATCCTCTTACCATAAACACTCACCGTAATTTATGTTGTTAAAACGCGTGCCCCTCAAAGATTCGCCTCCAAATTAACCAAAGACCATTTGCTGTGGAGGCTTTTTTTCTTGGAAAAGTAATAAGACACACCGAACCATCTTGGGGGAAGTATTAATAAGACATACTCGACCACAAAGCACTCACACCAATCTGCCTTCATCCATTCACAGCACCACAATAAATCCAGCAGAGCTTAGGTTTCAGGGAAAACTCTCACAAAGGGCCGAAAGGGGGTGGAGATTTTGCTGTAATGACTCAGACCACCTCCTGCCAGAAAATGCCTTACTGATGACTCCAAACCTACTTCTCGTTTGTGAAATTTAATCCATCCCGCACTCAGTGATCTATCACATCATCTCTATCCTAACAGCAAACATTCCAATGGTATGGGCACCAAATTAAGCAATCCGAGTGGAAAATGCTGCTCTTATTTTCTACATTTATTAAAAATGTACCGGCCAAGAATCTTGGCTGCCTACGACCATTTCCATCCTTTGGTGTGGCAGCTCGCCAGCTCGCGAGTTGGTCATACCATTGCCTTTGGATTTAGATATTGCAATGGGCGGCCTGACCTCCAAAGGTCGTTCTGTAGAAGGACAATTTGTTGCTTGTGACAAAATGTTGTTGCTTCTCATTCATATTTGGTTCAACAGTCCAAGAGGGCAAAGAAAAACTTGAGCTGGGAAATCACAGACTAATTCTGGTCACAGAGCAAACTTTGCAGAATGTGTTGCCATATAGAATAAAAGAATTTTAGAGATGGAAGGAATCTTAAGTCCCTCCCACTCATTTTTCCAAAAGCAGAAAGCGAGACCCAGAGAGGCTAAGTAAACTGCCCACTGTCACACAGCTACATGGTGGTAGAATTTAAGCCCATGATTTCCAATGACTGCTCCTTCCACCACATCATACTACCTAACAATGGCAAAAGTAACAGTGGGGTGAGGGAGTCAGAGGTAATGCTGATTCTCTTCTCATAAACCCTGCTTTAAAATAGGCTGAGATTATGTGTTGCTCATCGGGGATGGAGAAAATGGTCCTAACTCCTCTTAAGAGGGTTGCTCTGCCAGAAGCCCAATGTCTGACCTTTATGTAGGCACCCAGATGTTTGAACGCTGAAGGAAGGCAGCAAGGCAGGAAGGAATGTCTGCTTGCTCTAATCGAAGATGAAGAGGAGACTATTCATCAAAAGAAATAGATTCTCTTCTTAACACTGAGTGTATGAACCTCCACTTCCCCTCATCGAGTGATGCCCCAGCTGAAGTGACCGTAGGAGGTCTGCTCCACACCCTATGGATTCACAGCCTGAATGTTGGTCTACACATCTGTTAGCAGTGTGCACCCAGGCATAAGATGAAACAAAACCCATGCTTCTGTCGAAGATGAATTTGCTGCAGGAGTGTTGTCAGTCTGGCTCTGAGGGTTCTCTCAGAACATGCCTTGTTTAAATTCGTCTGATAGCATCAGTGTGGGCTTGCCCTCCATTTATGGGCATGAGGAGGATGCATGACTAATGCTACTCACCAGTCAGGAAATCGGTGCTAAGGATTACAGGCAGTCTCCCCGGCACCCAAAAAAGGGTTCTCCCCTGAAAAATTAGGAGTTACCTAGGGAGGAGTGAGGAAGAGCAGGTAGTTCAGAATGAATATGATTGTACACTTTCTTCTTCCACGTATCAGTATTTTTTCTTGTGTGGCAATTAGTTCACAGCGTATTTTTTGTTTATTTCTCCAAGAATGGAAAAAAAGAAAATAATGTAGAACATGATATTCCAGTAGGATTCAAGATATTTTTCTTACTCATCTTTCAGCTCTAGCTGCCCATATATAATCTGGGTCCTAAAATATTATGAGGAGACATAGACGTAAGAGGAAAGTATTTGCCTCTGACATTTGCATTTTTCTCCCATTTGTCAGTTTTCTCCCTTCCAAATTAGGATTTATTTAGTTAATTTCATTTCTTCTTCCCAGAGTCTCTTCCCTTCGTGCTTCACTGTGTAAACTTGCAGAAGTTTCCCAAATCCTGAACTGTCCCACTGGAGTAACATTAATTGGTAGACATAATATTCTAGAAGATGCGGGGATCCCTGGGTGGCGCAGCAGTTTGGCGCCTGCCTTTGGCCCAGGGCGCGGTCCTGGAGACCCGGGATCGAATCCCACGTCAGGCTCCCGGTGCATGGAGCCTGCTTCTCCCTCTGCCTATGTCTCTGCCTCTCTCTCTCTCTGTGACTATCATAAATAAATAAAAAAAATTTAAAAAAATATTCTAGAAGATGCAATACATTATTTCCACAAAATTCAGCCATGGCTGCCATTCAGAGTTTGGGGGGGGGGGCCAGGGAAAGAATCCCAAGCAGACCTCCTGCTGAGCGGGGTGCCCAATGCAGGGGCTCTGTCTCACCACCCATTAGATCATGACCTGAGCCAAAACCAAG